GTGGTGTAGAAATTGTGTCTAAGAGCAGCATTGTCAGGCTCAGGCACCTGGGGTCACTTGGAACTTGTCCTCCAACATTCTTAGAAATTGCATGCCTTTGGACTTGGAACTTCGGATCTTCTTGATGATGTTATCTTAGGCCGTAGGGTTTATGATAACTGGACAACAGCAGAAGCCAGAATTGTTTTTACACTAAGTTGGTTATCGTGAAAAGTTCTATGGCCTTGGCATGTCCTCCTTTCACGGTGTGCACTGGGTTGTTGCCCTCTTCTGTGCTTTGGGTTCCCCGTCTGGCAGCAGGACTTGGAACTCAGGACTTGGAGTGGGTGTCTATGTGTTCTTGAACAGCCAGGTAAGACTCAGAGGAAGGAGATTGTTTCTGGGGCTTCACTCAGAGTCTTTGGGCTCAGGAGACTGGCCATATGGCCTGGGACAATAAGCCAGGAACATGATGAGCGAGCTCTGGGGCGAGAGGAGGGCTGGATTCATAGACTTCACTGTTTGGAGCCATTGCTTCAGAATTGCTTCTGTACAGTGTTTGTTCCCTGTGGCCTATCAGCAAAGTACAGTAGTCCCCCAGCCCGCTCTGCTGCTCAGTTTCGCTTTCTGTGGCTTCAGAACTATATCCAAAAAAATGCTAAACAAAACGATCAGAAATGCGTAGCTTGTAAGTTTGTCAGTTCTCAGTGGTGTTGTGAAATCCCATGCAGCCCTGGTGTGCTCAGGGTGCCAGCCAGTGTGCCACCCACCCCTTCTCTCCAGTGTCATCTTGGTTCTCATCTCAGCTGTCCCAGCTTGCGGCTAAGTATCCCTGATGCCACTCAGTAGTGTTCCCAAAGTCATGATGCAGAGGAGAGCGGACCACAAGCACAGTGGAAGGATGGTGTGTCTTTGGAGCTGTGTGACAGCGCTATGGGGCACATAGAAAAAAATGTCAACACAGCCTTCGCTTCAGTAATACACAGTAGGGAATCTTGAATATGTCCCTTATAGAGAAGAAGGGCCTGTTGCACCCCAGACTGGGTGGCTTAGAGTAACAGAGGTCTTTTCCTTCAAAATCTTGAGCCACAAGTCAGAAATCAGTGGGCCAGCAGGTTTACACTCACTCAAGAGGCCTTTAGGGGGGAAATGTTTCCTCTTACTTTTTACAGCTGTCGTTGGTCCTTGACTTATGGCCACATCTACCTGGGTGTCAAATAGCTTCCTCCAATTCTCTGGAACCTCTTGTGTCTCAAATATCTGTGCTCTCAGCAACACTTGCAGCTGCTTATAGGACGGGTTCAATTCCAACATCCTTACAGCTGCAAACATCTGCTTTTTTCACATAAGCTCACATTTGGGGCTGCTGAGATAGGTCAGTGGATAAAGTGCCTGCCACACAGCACGAGGACCAGGGTTCAGATCTCAGCAACTCACACAAAGACCAGATGGGCGTGGTGGCATGCTTGGAATCCCAGCACCACTGGAGAGGTAGAAACGGAATCCTCAGAGTCAGCTGGCGAGCCAGACACCTAATGGATCCATGAGCTCTGGTGTAGGGGAGACCCTGACGGTAAAGGGTAGAGTGGGCAAGGAAGAGCCAGTGTCAGCTTCATGCTAGCACCCCTCCCCCTACACACATGTAAGCCCACACATGAGCGTGCGTACACACGCATACACATGCAGAAAAAGCATGATCACAGATTCTGGGGTTAGGATTTAGACATACCTTTTGGGGAAGCACCAGTCACCCCACTACAAGGAAGAAACTCAAATATCTGTATGTCAGGCAACAAAACAAAGTTGTATCTATTGAAAATGGAGGGAATGGGGTTTTAGAGTCAAACTCAAGGCCACCCTTAGTGTCCCAGCCTCCTGGGTGCCTGTGAGCCTTTGCAACAGAACACCTAAGCCCTCGAGGAACACACTTGGAGGACCATTACCTAAGAGATGGCAGGAGCTTTCAGCACCTCCTTGGGCAGGGGACCATTTGGTCTGGCCTCTCTCCAGGCAGTTCACGCTCGCGGGAACCAGTGACCAGGGAAAGCAGGTACTTACTGAGAAATACCCGTTTAGTGCCCATCTTTGGATTCTATGTTGAAGTGTGACTCGGGTTAAATATAAAATTCACAGCATATCTTGAGCAACTATTTTGTAGTTATCTATATATAAATCTATTTTACAGCGACACAAATAGAATAGATTATGGAGTGTCAGCATGTAGATAGATTCTGAGTGCTTTTCCACTAATATACCTAATGATTCGTGCTGAGAATATTCAAGGGCTCCACTGTACATTTAAATGGATATAATTAAAATAATGAGCTCTATTTTAAAAAATGATATATGAAAAAAAATTTTAAAGAAGTTGGAAGGAGCTGCACCACTAATTCAAAGTGATCTAAGTACTTGTGTGATGCTGTTGTTATTAGGACACCTAATTAAATGCGGAGCAGCTGAGGAAAAGAGAGGTTTGGGCTTGTAAATCTCAGTGCAGGAGTCGGGGAAGAGATGGAAGCTGCCTGTGTCCTTAGCACCACGAGCGTTTGCAGAAGGGGAGCCGGTGGCTCTGTGCTGTGCCATTGTGCACACCTGTGGTGAGAGAGTGGCTCACTTGATCCCCATCCATAGACTGAGTCAGGGTCAGGCTGCTCACACAGCAGCAGCTGGATTTCCAGAGCAAGCTCTGACTTATCTAGACTGTAGCGGGGTGGCGTGTGTGTGTGTGTGTGTGTGTGTGTGTGTGTGTGTGTGTGTGTGTGTGTGTGTGTGCTGTAGGGAAGTGGGAGTGGGAACCAAGAGTCTACCTGCCCTTGGGAGGAATTCATTCCCTCTTCCTCCCTCCAGAACCCTGGTGACCTGGCTGGAGGTCCCAGGGGTCAGGAGATGTGGCCTCAAGTCCTGAGTTAGCTCCAATCAGGGTTAGACTCAGGAGTCTCCCTGTGGTATATTTCCACCCAGGCCTGTTGTAGATGTGGATGGCTACCATCTGCTTTCCCAGTGGGCCCTTGTGTGTCTCAACAGGCAAAAATCCCAATGCCTATTTACTAGGAGGTACATCTTCTCTTGATCTTTAAGTAAGTACAGCATTTATGGGGCATCTACCGTATGCCTACTGTATGCTGGAGATACAGTGTTACCCAGACAGCTCTTAGAGGTGTACAGTTTGGTGAGTCATTAATGGACAAGACATTTTCAAATAGCAGCCAGGGCTATGAAGAAACTAGAACAAGGTGATGACAGACACTGGACAGTGTGCCAGAGAGAATTCATCAACATGTCCAGTCACTTTGAGAGTCAACTGTGGGAGGGAGATATGACTTCCACAGAGGAATTATGGCTCCATCGTGCTAGGAAGGCTTCCTAGTGGCAAGAGTGACATCAGGAACCAATGTCATTGTCATGATGATAACTACTATTTGAAATTTGTATGGACATCCATTGCAGGCCAGTGCCCCCGTTAGCCTCCTTACAGTGGAAACGAAGGCTTGCGGTCTCACTCCTAGTTCTCAGTAGTGGTGGAGCTGCAGTTTGGAGACCCATGGGTTGAATTCACTGTAGTCCATGTGCTAGCATCTATGCCATGCTCTCTGTGTTCATCTGTTTTCTGTTGCTGTAATAAAATGCTCAAGACTGAGCAGTTTATAAAGAACAGAGGTTGATGTTTCTCTGTGTTAGTCTGTTTTCTGTTGCTGTAATAAAATGCTCAAGACTGAGTAGTTTATAAAGAACAGAGGTTGAGTCAGCTGACCGTCATGAAAGTTGAAACACCAGTGAGAGTTCTGCTCTGGTGAGGTCTCCTGGCAGACAGCTTCACCATGACCTAGTAGCAAGTCACTATTAATGGGCCAAGTACTCTGCTGTTTTCTGTGTATTCACTGTTTAAACCCCATGTGACAATTCTGTTATCTGTGCTTTCAGATGAGGAGACCCTGACCTTAAGGTGAGGGGGTGAGTAGGGAAGTAACAGCTGGCCCCTCCCCTGATTTCCTTGGATGGTGGTAGCAGACTGCCTGGGTGGTTAATGACACCAGGCCAGTGTTTCACCAGGCTGGAGACCTGAAGTTAACTCAGGGCTCAGATGGCTTAGGCTCTGGGGAGGGGCCACTACCACCAGGCTTGCAGGCAACCACTGTGTCCTCTGTTGGAGAGAATAACTTTTGTTGGGGGGGGGGCGTGTAATAAAGTGTGTGGAGGTCAGAGAGCAGCCCGTGGGAGTCGGTTCTCTACTTCAGCCTATGAGACCCAGGGATGAAACTCAGGTCATCGGGCTGGATGACAAACTCCTTTACTGGCTAAGCCTTGCTGCTGGCCCAGGAGTGCTTTTATAAAGTCCCTAACCTCGTCATAAAGGCTCCACCATGGGGAGATCTCGTTTAACACTAATTACTTCCTAATCATCCCAGCCCCAGAAACAACCACATTTGCGGTTTGGATATTAATGTGTGAATCTGGGGGTGGGTGGTCACAGTTTGCTTCAGAGTAGTTCCCCAGCTGCATTTCTCTGTGCCTCCCTTGTAAGCCGGCCTCAAGGAGTCTCTCTCTGCTCAGCATCAATCTTTTGCCCCTCTGGGAGCAGCTACAACTGGAGAATCGACTTGTACAGTGTAGCCATTGCTCCTCAACTATGGTAGCTGCTGAGACCCAGAGACACACAGGGTCCAGGTGGATCCAAGGTCACGTTCCAGGCCCCACCTCCCAGGCCCTGCCTCCCAGGCCCCATGCCTTCACAGTGCCCTCTTGGCTTTCCATGTGTGCAGGCCTGAGGATTTCTTGAGTCTAGGCTTCTCTGAGCAGAAGAAAGAACCTGGGCCTGGAATGAGATTTGGTTTTCATCCTGGGCCTACCGTGCCTCACTCACCTCTAAAACAGGAGTCGTGAGGATAGTTTGCCTACTGAAAGGATGTGGGAGCCCATGGAGAAGTGGGGTGCCAGAGCCCAGGCTGCGTGTGTTCGTCTGTGCCTGCCTTTGTGACCTCAGCAAGTCATGGCTCCGTTCCAAGCTACAGAATGCACTGAGCTTCCTGGCCAGTTCCATCTGAGCCCGTTCCTTGAGATGTTCTCGAATGCTTGGAGAGCATCCCCGTGCCAAACCTGTTGGCTCCCTGACATCCTCACCATGAGAGCCTCTTGGGACTGGTGTTTTCCCATCTAAAGTGGGAGTAGAGAAGAGCTTGGATGTGATCTATGGTCCTGCTGCCAAGGAACAGAAACAGAGTGAGATACTTGGCATGCTCTGATCACGATGCTCGAATGCTGTTGGCAGACCAGACCCCAGCTTGGCCTGGGGCTTGCTAGAAATAGCGTCTCAGGCACTGGCCCAGGCTTCCTGAACAGCCCCTGCATCTGTGAAGGCCCCCAGCTTCAAGCTGGACAGGTATACATTTCCAGTAGCCAGAGGTGCCCTTTGAGGTTCCTTGCAACTCCAGTTGTACAAATGACCTCCACTTACCCAGATGTGAAATGGAGCTGGTTCAGGAGGCCGAGGAGCCCTCCTTTCCATCCAGTACAGAGCGTTGTTGTGAGTGTGTACAGTGCTAAGAGCTGGGGGGTTCCCGTGTGCCCGTGCGCCGTTGCGGATGCCCTCTGAACGGCCTCTCTTCTCTCCCAGGGAGCGCTTGAAGCGCAGTCAGAAGAACGCCAAGGTGGAGGGCACAGAGCCAGTGCCTGCTGAGGCCTCACTGAGTGCCGAGCAGGGAACGATGACGGAGGTGAAGGTGAAAACGGAGCTACCGGATGACTACGTCCAGGAGGTCATCTGGCGGGGCGAGGCCAAGGAGGAGAAGAAGGCGGTCAGCAAGGATGGAACTGGGGATGTGCCTGCCGAGATCTGTGTGGTGATTGGCGGCGTCCGCAACCAGCAGACCCTGGGTGAGTGCCCAAGTGGGGACGGGGCCAGGGTAGAAATGCGTGACCAGAAAGAGGCTGGGGTCTCTGGGACAGAACCTTCTGTGTCTTGCTCTGCTGCAGGGAGAGAGCAGAGCTCCTGCGAGTTCCCTCTGCATGTTGAGTTCTAGCCTGGAGAGCTCCCCTTCTTCCTGATGTGACAAGACCCCATGCTTCTGTCAAGCCTTGGCTGAGCTCAGATATTTAGAATGTGATGGATGCATGCTGGCCCGATGCATCCATCACACCTTCAGGCCCCCAAGCTCCTGGTTGGGGACCAGCATAAGCCCTTACTGCTTTCTTGGTATCCTGAATGCATGTCCCATCTGCCTTGTCCCTGGTTTGAATGGGAGCTCTTGGGGATGTCCCCAGTGCTGGTCCTGGTCTGCTTTTGATCAGTGACAGGTAGACGCCTTCCTATACTTGGAAGAGTGCTGTAATAACCTGCTCTCAGGCAGTGACGATTCAAGGGCTCAGATGGCCACAAGGCCTAACAGGCTGATTTAGCATATGCAGATAGAGCCTGCAGGACACGAGCTGGGGATTGTGTCCAACTGCTCTATGCAGAGAGGGCAGCCACTCCTACACTCAATGCTTGACAGCCTCTTGAGAGTCACCTCTCAAGTGGGAACCGGGACTCAGCTTTGTCCCATCCCTGCTCGGATCCTATGCCCAATATGTGAACATATGGGTGTGAATTCTTTTGGCTTTCAACATTGGCTCTCAGATTGGCTTTTGAAATCTGCCAAACAAAACATATTGGTGGCTTAGCGTTGTTCCATGAGCCACAGATTTGAATCTCAGGGACAGCGAAACAAGGCTCATGTTCCTCAGCCTGCGTCCTAGACTGGCACCACATGTACATGTCCATCCTTACCTTCCTCCATGGTTGCCACGCCCAGAGTGTTCATGGGCATGCTGCTCCCTCCACCATCGTCATCTGCCCTTCACGGTCCAGGTCTGGCCTGCCCCTCCTGACTTTTAAGCTCCTCTGTCTTCGTGGTTTGCATACTGTTTGCTGCTCACATCATGGGGAGATGCCCTTTGTTTCCAAGGTCCGCCCGCAAGTCTTGACGCCTTTTCTCCTTAGGCCTCAGGCTTCTCTCTTTCCAGCCCATACTCAATGTCCCCACGCGCATCACCACAGCATCCCATGACCAGCCATACTTCGTGTCTCTCTGCCTGACACATGCCATTCAGCTGGCTGCAAGGAAGCCGCAGCACAAAGACATCGTGCTATGTCGTCCTTCCCTACAAACCTTGGAACTGACTCCTGCCATCCAGAGCAGCGGCCACAGCACCGAGATCCCCCATTGTCCCTTTGTCTCTGATCACCCCAGACCTCTCATCACAGTGCTCATCCTGACATCCTGTCTCTGATCACCCCAGACCTCTCATCACAGTGCTCATCCTGACATCCTATCTCTGATCACCCCAGACCTTTCATCACAGTGCTCCTCCTGACATCCTGTCTCTGATCACCCCAGACCTCTCATCACAGTGCTCATCCTGACATCCTATCTCTGATCACCCCAGACCTCTCATCACAGTGCTCCTCCTGACATCCTGTCTACTCTTCCTTCTCCCCCCTCTAGGAATACTATCCTTTTCCCAAGCCCAGCATGTCCTTCAAGGCCAGTTCTAGGGCCACCTCCCTCCTTCTCTGGTCTCCCATGGTCAGAGGGGTCTACATGGACTGTGCCTGACCCTGCCAAGTCTGGGAGCCCCCTAGAGGTTGGATCTCTGGGACCTGCTTGATTTCTGCTCCTCACTCCTACTCCACAGTGCCTAGCAAGGTGCCAGCTTGTGGCGAGTTGTGTTGGCTGTGGTACTGTGACCGTCGGGATGAGACTAGGAGACGCAGCAGTAATGAAAGTCTCAAAAGTAGCGGATCTTACTAACTCAGAGCCCTGAAAATTCATTTCTTCTTAACATTCTGTCCACTGTGACCCACGCAGGACTCCACTCGTCTGTAGACTCTAACACAAGTTAGCTGTTCTCACAGATGACCAGATGGCAGAGGAGAGCAAGTGCTAGGTGAAACCAAGGAGGCCATTGGCTGCTAGAGTCAGAAGGGAGAGGCTCTCACAGCCGTCAGAACTGTTCATGTGGACCGCATCATCTGAGGGGCCAGGAGGTGCCCACATCCCAAGGTCACTACGAAGGACAATTGGGCGTAAGGAGACGCTTGGTGGGGAACCTTGCCTGACCTCTGCCCCTCAGCATTCACTCCCCAAAGCCAAGGACCAAGCTTCCTCCTCCAGGATCTGTGAATGGAGGAGAGAATGTGTTCTTACTCTCACTGAAGAATATTATGTCTCTACTCTTTAAGCCCAGCCCCAGATGTCCTGTGAGGGGAAACTGAGTGCAGATTCGGTCAGGGAGGCCTGTAGCAGGCAGGCCAGGGAAATGTGTACAGCCTCCCCTCAGCCAGCAGCCCACATGGTGGAGGCCCTGGGACCTTAGGCCTTCTGCTAGCCCGAGCATTCATTTCTCACTCAGCTGCTGCTCAACAGCCAGGTCTTCGGTCTCACTGTCCAGTGGTGTCCTCCTCTGCTAGATGAGGACCCACCCTGGCCACCTCCTGGGTGTGGGAACCAAAACATTAGTGGACAGTATTGACCAAGGAACTTGTATCTGAGGTGCCTGTGATGGAGAGCACATCTAGGTTCTCCGACTCATGGTGTGAGATCTCTGTGTACTACAGTGCACAACATACAGACTCATGGGTTATGTGAGGACATAGTAGGATATGTGCTAAGTGCCTGGTGCTGTGCCTTGTGATGGGTGGACAAACTCTTGGTAGTATAGTCTGAATGTTGGCAATCGTAGTTGGAATTTTCTTTGGGCCACCAGCAGTGGAAACCTCTTATTAATTATGGAAGCTCAGACTTTAGCCTAAGATTGTCCCGCCTGCTCTGATAACTTAATTAAACCAGTTTCTGTTCATCTACATCCTACCTCGTGGCCTTTTACCTTTCTTTCATGCTGTGTGTCTGACTCCCTCAAGTCTCGTTGACGCCTTGGTTATCTCCTGCTTCCTCTTTCTGTGCCCGGAAGGCCTGCTTAGCTACTGGTCACTCAGCTTCTTCTCACACCAATCATTCCGATACCTTTGCACACTGTACAAATATCCCACATGTCCCCTTTTTTGTCTAAATAAAAAGGAAAGGTTTTAACTCCAACATAGCAAAACTATACACAATAAGAAAAATTATCAGGTAAGAATTACATTTACAATAATACACAGTCTATTTATATTTGAAACATTCAGAGAAAATAAGCCATTATTTATCTTACCTTGGTGAGTGTAAAGTTTCGTACCTAAGTTACCTTCTATCGTAACTAAGGAAAACTGAACAAACAGGAAGTGCTGTGCAAGCCACATCCAAATCTATAGAAATGACAGAGACATCTGGCTGCCTGGGCAGTCACCCAAGGCTGCTCTGCAATGTTGGGGCATCCGTCTTTGGCCTACAGGCCTAGAATGTCTGGCAGGCTTTTCTATGAAGCAGAAATTTTGAAGGACTGTATCACCTTGTCTTGGCAGTTTGGCAGTCTTTTTCCTTTGTGTCTTGCTTGTCGGGTTTGTACAGTGTACGGTCAGCAGTTGAGGCAAGTGCAGTTTCTTGCCCAAATGGCTAGCTTTGCCACAATGAAAACAAACTCCACATGGAAGTTCTTCAACACCTATCATCCTTATATGAAGTAGACTGGTGCTGGAAGGAGCAGACGCGTTTCACTGTCATGAAAAGCCGTCGGTTATTAAACATCTTAAATGTTATTATTCTGTGGGTCTCTGAAGTGTTTGAAGATCACCTGTCTATCTAACATATATCTGTTTGACCTTGAAAACATACCTAACATGACTACAAGTTTGATTGTTATAGATGACTACTAACTTGAATTTTTTAACTATCCTAATGAGTTTGTAATAATAGCTTTCAAGGACTAGAGCTTCATATTACATTTTTAAATGAGCTGTATAGGTACAATACCTTAAACAAGAGCAGAAACTTATATGGTATAACAAAATTAACCTTCAAATTGTGTCAATATACAAAAATCCATGCCAGTGTAAAATATTTGAGATTAACAGTTGTCCTTTTATCCTACACTCCTATATCCCCACTAGATGATGACAAATATCCATAACCTACCAAAGTTACCAAAATCACTCACCCCGCCTGTTGGAAATATGGGCATTGTATTCTCTAGACTGCTTCCTGTTGTCTGGGGGCAGCTGAATCTCTGGGGGACTCTGAGACAATGGTCAAAGCTGAGAAAACTAGTTGAAACTTTTGTTGTCCAGTCTCAGAACTGTCCCCATGTAGAGGGATCAGTATATATGTCACCTGTCTTGTAGATTTTCCTCATTTATTTCTTTATGTCTATGGTCAAGATTTTCAGGATGTCTCCCCCTATCATATCTGATCTCTGTTAACCTTGAAGGAATCGACAGCCTTCCATTTCCTGTGGAAACAAAAACATAGCCTTTTTCCCAACACAATACATTTTCTGAATTCCACTTTAAAGGTAAGATATCGCTAAAGTATCTAGGCAGGTTTATTCAGCAGTCCCTTTTACAATTCCATGTCTCTCAGCAGATGTCATTCACTCATCAATATTCAAAAAATTCAAAGTCAGCACAGCACCACACAGGATCCAGACGCCCCGTGCTTTTCCCATCTTTACATGGTTTTTTCCTTTCTATTACTTTACTCTCTCTTTAAAGACTTTATTATTTTTAAACTATTCTTTCTTATGACTGTCTGTACCCATTTTCTTTCTTAAGTGCATACACATTTTAAACACACTGAAACCTGTTTAGAGGGATTTATTTCATTGTTTGTTTGTTTGTTTGTTTTGGTTTTGTTTTCCAATCTGGCTCTGCGAGGTCCGTGTGGCTCCAGCAGTTGGCTCTGTCCCCTCCTTGGGTCTGTTAGGGCCAATCCTTATGCCCACAGGCCTGGCAGAGAGCTGCG